AGAGAAACATTGTTTATTCTATCTCCTTGAGTGTGCTTATTCACTCTGTTTCTAGCACTACCACAATATCTCGTTAAAGGAGTATCAATACTATTAGCACACAAGTATGCAAGGTAGGTAGGTATTCAAGTCCAAAATTATCATATCGGCTTGGATACAAACTGAGGCTAACGGTATGAGGTGAATTCCGACTTACACATGCACTTCAAAGCACGCCTGAAGTCACCAGAGACTTCGCTTTCTATGGCATCCAGCAAAGGAGTTCCGTGTTTCTAAAATAATAAAAAAATTCAACTTGTACTAGTGCTCACATAGTCAATTGGGGAGGAAATTATAAAAGGGGGAATTTTTAATAAAACGCGGCGGAAATGACTCTAGCAGTTGCGTAGAGATGAATTAAATAAAAATAACACTTTAATGGTCATTAAAATCGTCCTGCAATGTGCTAACCGTTTCGTATTGCTTTGCAACCATCGCAGTCTCGAAGACGCTTCTGTTGGCCAGGATCTCAATGAAGACCGACTCATCGGTGCCCAATTTTCTATTAGTCAAGCAAGAAAGAGAAATAGGTTGAAATCTAAGTGGTTGAAGGAGGATAATTAAGATATTTGAATAGTGACAGAGCAGTGCCATATTTGTCATTTGGTCCCAGAAGGTGGTGATGGCTAATGTAACTATAGCCAAATTCGACCTTATCTTGGGTTCCTTCGGAGTGTATCACAATTTCAGCATCCGTGTTCATTCGAACTAAGAATCAGACGGAAGCGTGCTACCGCCGTAGCTCATGGACATGTGGCCATGGCGGAATGCAGCAAGGCAGCAAACGGAATCTTCAGATGAACACAGAGCTTTATTGGATGCAAGAACTATGGACAGTCTCGAAACCAAATTAATCAGAAGATAAGTCTACGTTGGTTGTCAATTGTAGAAACCACCAGTCACCAGATTGTTAGGCGTTTAGTCAACTGTCGACTTGAAATTTGCGTATAAGTAGAGTTTGGAGACTACCATTAAATCAGTAATATAAGATGTATTCACCCTATTTTGTTTAAGGTGATGAGGGATTGGTAGTAGCAATTTCCCATGATGCTATGAGTAGAGCTGACATTTTCATTGAATTTCACATTGCCTTGCTTTCGCAAAAGTTGTTCTCGTCAAGGGTGGAGTGGACTGCAGTTTCGACCTCGCACAAAGGGAGTCGAACCGCGACAGGGCAAAGCGTGAGCTTGACAAATTAACCACTCGTCCACACTGTCGATTGCTATGACGAAAATACGTTTGCTTCATCGATAATCCCACCAAAGAATGTGATATCGGATAAGACCTGGCCTTCCTTGAAATTAATATCAGGTTTACTCATATGATTGTGTGAAAAACTCAGCTATCAGTCCCCTTATCACCTTAAATGAAATAGGGTTAATAAGCTTCATACATAAATGATCTACCGGTAGTCTCGAAAAATCTACTTATAAAGTAAAATATTCTTGTGTACTTTTACTGCCACGTTCTGATTGGTTCAACAGGCAGGCTCGATGTGGTGGCTAGGTCCACTTACTTCCATTTCGAGTGAAGGTATTTGGTGAAGAGATTAGAAGGTCAATGCCACCAGAAGACGACAAGCATCAAAAAGAGTGTTTCAGTAACGCTAATCGACAGCTGGTCAAGAGGGAAGCGTCGTCGTCTTCTGGTGGAATTGACCTTCGCATCTGTTCACTAAACACCTTCACTCGAAGTGGAAGTGGGCTAAACAATTGTGAAACAAGAGACTCTTTGAAACCCAACTTTTCTTCGCCCATACTAGGCTCGCGAGAAAGTGTAAATTGGTCAGGTTCATAGTGGCGTTGCGTGAGTTGAGAAGTAACTGCTGACTGGCTGGCTGGCCTTGACAAGGCCTGTAACAAAACCAACTACAGAGTAAAGGTCACCAGAAGCAGAAACTTCATTTGAAAATCTGAGTACCAGTTTTGAAACTTTTTATTTGATAAAATTGGTCTGATTTGCTTTTGGCAATTTGATCGCATTGTCAGGGTGACCGATTTTGACCCATCATTTTCGAATTCAAACCACTTATATACGTCGAAGGGAGACTGTGACCAAAATAGAGGTTCTTCATGTCATTGCTGTCTTATGGTTAAAACAATATGGCAATTAATACAAGGGAAGAATCCAAGCCTAAGGATGGGATGATGAATAATGTGGCCTGTGAGCCCATCATCCTGAATTGAGAGAAAGGCTCGTGTAAGGTAGAAAAGAGTGAGTCATGTGTACGAAAATTGCGTCCAATGAACTTGTAAAAAAATGTTAATACGCGAAGTTTCATGATTGAAAATAGAGAAAAAGGTTATAAATTTGGTAAATAGCACATGTGAAATGCGAGAACAGTTAGGGATCACTTCAGCTCGTTGCAAATAGAGCAATAGTGTGTGGAGAAGGCGAACAGCGACGGATACAATATTGGCCTGGATAATATTAACAATAACTTTATATTTATTTTATACTCGGAAAGTTATACACACACACACACACACACACAAGCACGTGCGCATACTAACACTCAAACAAATGTACACTAAAGAAAGCACAAAAGGGAAATCTTCCTGCAAACTTTCGCTCATCCTTACCCTTCCCCAGCGCAATACAAACGATCGACGTCGGAGTTCACGCGGGTCATGTCGATGATGGCGGCCAGCCCTTTGGTCGACACATTCTGCATTTCCTGTATGCTCGGCTCCGGGCGGTTACACTGCAAAATGGACACAAGTAGACGCCGCAGAAAACCGCTGACTTCGCTAACGATATCTTTTTCTAAGTTGCGTGACGGATCTACACGAAGAAAAAACAATGCAAAATAAGAAAAGACCAACGGTTGCTGAGCTCACCTCCATTTCAAATGAATGTGTTTGGTGAAGAGATGCAAAGGTCGATCCCACCAATCGTGAGGTGGGATGAACCAGCATAAAAACTGTACAATAATGGATGTGGGCTCAATTCGCACTTTGAAAATGTCCACAAGAATGAACTTAATGCG